TTTCAACTAAACAATTTAAGATTTAGATTTTATTGTTTTTGCACTATTTACATATTCCCCGAGAAATCTTCAAGTTCTCTTAAATCTTAACTGACGTAGCAGTTTTGCTTTGTAGAGAACGCTTGCGAAATGTAACAAAATGTGAAACGCATGTGTACAAAACACCGTTTTCCTTATCAATCTCATAGTTTTTGGGACGTTCTCCGTGCTGTGGACGCAACGCCTTCGTGGTTGCAACTCACCCACCCTCCCTTAACCTCTCTATTGACGGAAGGGGAGTAGCCTTGAGCCTACGTTTGCTTCGTATGTCCACACCAGAAATGCGGCTGCATTTTCGAGATCCTTTTTTTACTAAAAAACATCGAATAACGATTTAAGTAGAAAAATATTACGTTACAAAAGACAAGCAGTAAGTGTACTCCGGCACTAAACTACAGAGCTCAATTAGAAAATATTACGTTTGTTGCCTCATTGGGAGAAATGAAGGGAACTCGTTAAAATAAAAGAGCTTGATTTTTTTGATTCACAATCGACTGATAAAGAATAGAAGGGTGTCTTTTAATTTTCTTAGTTTGCCCCACCAACATCAATGATTATAGTAGCACAAGTTAACGAAAGAAAACTAGTTTTTCGTGTTTCATGCAAAATGCACCCATAGGTTCGGGAGGGAAAATACTACTCCCCAAAAGCCACTCTGTCGTGGAATAAGTCAGCGATGATAAAGTACTTCGCAGAGTTCAGAGTTAAAGAAATTCAGATAGTTACAGCTGCGTATTTCCAGCATATAGACCAGCACCAAAGCTGACATATTTGGAGCATATTCTTTCCACTGGCAACCGTCAAATAGTTAATGGTTTAAACCCATGTCAAGCTATACAACTTTTAATCGCAGCAAATAGGATTGAGCCTGTCCGCACCAAGCAAATTTTGTTTGACAGTTCAGTTTCAGCTACTCGTTTCTACTCCTTGGTTCGCCAGAAATAATTCGAAACAGTGACGACACGTATTACAAGACGGCGAGTGTGCTAAGATGCGAGAAGAAGCAGATTAGCTAAAAAAAACCCACTTTCATCAATGAATATGTGACAACTTTTATACCTCAGAAAATTGAAAACGGCACTTTTAGGCAACTTCGTTTTTCACAGATTGTAAAGCACCTTTCTTTTCACCTACACGAGCATATAAAAACTGTCACAAAATTTACTTGCGCAGACAGGACCTAAATATGATCTTTTACGTGGTCTTGTTTTTCAACTTCAAGCTAGTCCTAAACTAAACTAAGTCTACGTGCTAATTAACGTGGCCCGCAGTATCTAAGCAGCGAGACTTTCCCTAAAATTAAACCATCGTCTGAGAGTTGCTCAGCAAAATTGCACAAAGCGAAGTAAAGCAAATCTCACTCATACTGACTACATTTTCCAAAATACCTTTGTTTCACAAGTCTTTTTGCGCATTCAAAATGACGGAGTGGATACGCCCTTTGAAAACGTTGCTGAAATCTCAGTATTACGATCATGTCGTGGGTAAGTTTGTATTATGAATTGTTACGCCCGGGACTTATAAAAGGGTGAGTTTGATTTGGTTCTGATCTGGTGACAAAGGGGCATTATTATAAACTTCATTAGTTCCTGCTTTCCCAGGCGGAAACAGGGTAGGTAGCAATAAGCTTAAGTTAGAACTATCAATTTATTTTAGGTATATCACAAATTTTCTGTATCTTTTAAGGTATACCATGGCTCCCGTTTACTTCACCTTTATTGCCACGCAAACATCTGAAGAGACATGATAGTGGCTGTATTCTACAAACAGATATAACGATCTGTGACTGACATAAGATTAACCACTTCCTCTTTTCCCCTCTTGACCTGGGACCATCAGCAATGGATGATTTTATACACCATTCCACTTATTGTTAGGATTCTGACTTGTTTGAATCCTCCCTTTCAAGGAACCGCCTAACAAAAGAGAATAGACAATTTGTCAAGTAACACAACCTTTCCTTAAATAAATATATAAACAAATGAATAAATAAATAAATAATTTAGAGGTAGCACACCCACATAGTGGTTCTTCGTCTACTATTCTTGGCACCGGTTATTCAAACATTGGATAGCGCTATCCACCGGTTTAATCACTATCCAGCGGATAAGGATATATTGCGCAAACTAGCTGCACTATCAAATGGATAGAGATAGCGCTATCCAGTCTTTGAACAACCGAGGCCACGTCGAGTTGGAAATTGGAAATGTTGGTTCTTGAGGAGGGGGCAGAACCAGAGTACTCGGAGAAACCACCCCCGGCCACCAGAGCAAAAGAGAGAACCAACAACAATTTATTTATCTATTCATTTGTTAAATATTCTTCTAGCTGTTTGGCAGGTATGTCAGCAACAGAACACCATGTCCCCTACTAGGTTGAACACCAGACATAAGAAAAACTTGTAAGGGTAACTTGTTTACTCACGACTCAGCATTGTAAGCAAATAGGAGGTATCAATACCTTCTTTGACAATGTTTATGGATTCCAGATCGAATTGCAATTAGAAATGCTAGTTTTTAAAAGAAAGGAAAACCGGAATACCAAGAGAAACGTCTGCGAAAATAAGTCCCGAGCGGCGAACAGCGTGGGGAGACGGCTGTATTCACTGGCTACCAAGAGAAAAACCTCTCGAAGCAAGGGAGAGAACCAACAGCAAACTAAACACACATTTCACTTACCTCCTTGCTTGCTGTAACATTGCTTCCTTCCTCTTCAGCAGCATAGTATGCCTAACACAAGGCTGTAAAGAGAACTCAGCTGAAGATGATGCAGCAGCAGCTGCGAATCCACTCCCTGCTGTTCTCATTTCCTGGGTGAGTGGGCTGCTTTCTTCTTTCACCTCCGCCTCCTCCACTGAAGACGGCTGTTGTCTCTCTTCCATCACGGGCAGCTCTTCATCAATGGCTTTCTCTGTGTTTGAACTACTAACATCTTCTTCCTCTGCGGACAAGCTTCCAGTGTCATCAAGGTTATCTGATGAAGCGGTTGAACCTGAAAAGTAAGTTAAAGTGATCTGAATCAGCATCAGAGTCCATGTAAAAATTAAAAGGATCTAAAAGCATTAGTTCTCGGTCCACTCAAAATTTATCAACCCCAACTACCTGTACACCACGTTGTGTTACATGACTATTCTCTCCCTATTTCACAACTACAAAAATAAAATCACTGTCACCCGAACCATTTTTGCTGTCATTCTGGTTATAAGGCTTGTTGTTACACACATTGCTCATTGCTCTTGTCTTCCTTTGTCTAAACGTAAACAAACTTTTCTATAACCCTTAATTTGGCAAGGTGTGCCTTACACAAGTAGCAAATACGCTAATATGGTAAGTTCTTTGTCATACTTGGCTGTGCAATCTGTAGTAATTCAGAATCTTCCACTGTCCGCTGATCCTCAGGTGGAGTCCACACCTACGTAAAGAAGAAATCAACGTTTAAGACCCAACAATCCACATTCAAATTCTCCATTCAGATCTCCCTACATTTCGTTAGAGAATTAGTTGAGAGAACTTGATTAAAAATCAACTCATTTCCCCCTTGAGATCATTTTATTAATTCTTCTAACCTTTTCTTTTGACTATATATTGATACCGTTAAAAGAAAATCGATGTTAGACACTCCTGCGACGGAGGGGGTTTGCGTATTATTTTCACTCCCTGAGATAATAGAGAGGAGTAGTATGACGTCACGTTACCATGGTACCAAAATTTCTGGATTACAACAATAGGAAGCTTAAGCAACGACGATGATGAAGGCAACGAGGACGGGAAAAAAGCAGTAGGTTTAGATTAGCAAAACAATAATTTTGTACGTGCATCACGCTTTTTTGTACATTTCTTGGCCGTCGTTGCACGACTGCGACATGAAACTTCTAATTTCACGCGGCCGCTTAATGGAGTAGATGAACACAACCCCAAATTTTTCTTTCTCTTATTCTAAACTTAGATACGGTTCTTTCGTATTCAACCTCAGAAAATTTCGCCAACATTTGACAAATTAAATTAAATTGAATAAGATCGATGAATTTTGAAACAGCGTGAATCCACTTTTTAAGTGAGGTTTTTGGTTTGTTGTCATCCAGAAATTTTACTACCATGGTAACGTAACGAAACGACTTCTCCCTCTCCTATTATGTACTATTTAAAAAACGAGCAGGAGTGCTATTATCAGGTTTAAAACTCGAGGCGAAGCCAAGAGTTTTTCCACCCGATAATACACAACTGCAAGGTTTTTGAATTGCTTCAAAATCTCTGATATACACTGTAGATCAACTCATTCTTGCATTAATGTTCAGATTTTGGGTTACTTTGGTCTACAAAATTGGACGTAAAGTTTAGCCGTGTATTTATCAGATATAAAGACACTCATTAAACATTACTTTCTTTTGTTTAATGAGTTTTTGAACAAGTCTTATAAGGTTGTTCCAAATTCTGAGTTTGTGGATGAAGTTACCATTTTATCTAAAGTCCTTTATAAAACAAAAGGGGCCCTGTCGCATAAAACTCGATCAAATGGAGATTTAAGCCACAGAAAGAAAGCTGTATTCACATAAAAACGTACCGATGGAACAGCAATGTTTCCTTCCAGAACATTCTCAATTGTGACTTCCAGAGAATGGGTGTGTCTCAGATCATCCATGATAATGTTGAATGGCATGTGTGGAAACATCGCTTGAACTTGATGTGCCTAAAGTGTATACAACAGAAATAAATTAAGAAAACGTTACATTTACAATTGCACAAACCTGAGACAGAAACACCTGAATACAGTAAAAGGACTGGAGATCCAAGGCTTCCCAGAATGCTGGCTGGATCCTTAAACCTCTGAGTTCTAAACCGATTAGAGTGGGGCCAAGGGGCGGGGGGGGGGGACCTCCCCTTAAACTGAGGGAAGATTTTAAAGAATTCTCAGTAAAATCTGTCTTCTAGAGCTTTAATGTTGGAATGAGATGCTCTTATGGTGCTATAACCAATAAATACGTGGGAGAAGTTTCTATATAAACTTGCTCTCAAGTCTCTCAGTGCCCTCTTTTTGAATTAGCAGATCCGCCCATGAAACTCATAAAAAAACTAAGCGTCAAGGTTCAGTTCATATATGACATGTGTCTCTCAGCTAATAATAAAAATAAATTAAGACAAAACAGACAAACAAACAAACAAACAAAAACAAAAAAGGTCTTGATAAAAGGACTCTTAGCGCCAAGAAAACTTCACTTTTAGATCCTGACAGTTTAAATGAACGTTCTATTCTCACCATAGCTTCGATGCGACTTTCAGGTAGTTGTCCCTCAATTAAGTTATTGACTCTTGTATGCATCACCTCCACAGAAAAGCTTGGGAACCAGCTGGCAATTTGAGAACCTTTTAAAGAAAAGTTATGGAAGGTGTGATGCACTTCTCATGAAGAATTTCGTTTCATTTGTTTCAGTCAAAAGAAACCAGTGATAGTAAAACATTTTCAACAAACAAGTTATATTAGGATACTTAGGAAGGATGATAAGTTGAAATTTTGTACGTACAGGAAATCACACACATGTTGTGGTTCAATTTTATCCTTGGTTTAAATTTTATTTCCCTTTGTTTTGTGGTATGGTAATGTATGATAATGAGTTTAAAATAACGGAAAATAAAATTTAAACCACGGAAAAAATTGAACTACAACACATACATGTAAAAAGATTTTGTGACCAGCAGTTTTAAAAGGATTTTTTTTCCTAACTTCAGTATACTGGTACATTGTAAGCAATAACGATATTTTGAAATCATAAAACATTAGATAAATTATACATGTACACGTTAGAGAATGTTAGCCATAATGAAATACATATGATGGCAGAAAGTCGTTATGTTGTCTTGATTTTTATGACCAAGGTTTGGTGTACGTTACATCCCAGGAGAACAAGTGGTCTCCAAACTGATCTATTTTTCTACCTGATAAGGTCCTCCGGAATGATCACCTAAACAAGGAATCTTTGGCACATATTTCTTTAATTCAACACAATTACTCTTCGCTATTTCAGGGGAAAAATGGTTTCTCATAAATAACTGTGATCCAAATTTGTACCATCAAAGTGGAAAAAGTGGTTTCGTCTGAGGCCACGTCCCATCATGAAAGCAGCCATTCCTCTTGGTTGCCTCTGCTCTTCCTGTTCTGGTTGCAGATCACTGGCTAATGACTGACGGCAAGTCGGACAGGATGTGTCATTTTCCAGCCAAGATCTCAGGCAAGAACTGCATCATGAAAAAGAAAGGCAAGGCAAAACTCAAAGAAATGCCCCCAGTTACAACAACTTAATCAATACACTGTATCCATAGGTTCTGTAATATTAACTACGTAATTTGCTACCCGGAATAAAATCAATTTTTATGATAAATGTGGCTAAATGCAATTTAGGCAAAGTTAAATTGCGTGCCAATGCAGTCAACAGTCTCCTCCTCAGGCGAATGTGATCTGTGGGGTGACCACAGGGACCTTTGTTTATCCTGTGACTAACATTGCATCTCATGCTGGCAATTTGAGCTGATCTTTGCAGATCTGGTGTTAAAGCAAATCTTTGCAGATTCTGGCTCCCAGCCCTTCCCTCCCTTTTTTTGGGTTTGTGTGTTGGTAAGTATGAGGCTAGGTGAGTATTTTCCACTGAATTCCTTCAGTATGACCATGCCAGTTGGTGGCTGCATGCAGCGGTGGTTCCTGCTTGCAGGGTTGCCATGGATACCTCCTTGCTAAGCTGGAGGATCTCAGGCTCCCATCCAACCTTTAAGGCACTAGTTCTGAAGCTCATCTATTGACGATGAGTTTAAATACAGTGTAAGTAGAGGTATGACTGGACCAAATCAAACACTACCAACAACTAAATAATTTGCAAAATGCATATGTCCATACATGTATCAAATAGATAGGAACCCCCTCTCTACGGAACTTTGTGTAAGTGTCATGGGCCAGTTATTTTTGGCTGGCTTTATGCTGGAATAAAGGTATAACATAAAAATAAAGAAGACATACTTGTGAAAGAGATGACCACAAGGTAACTTTCTTGCAGCTGCCATTGAGTCCCAGCAAATTGCACAGTCATCATTATTCTTGATCAGCTCTTCCTCAGTAGCCAAAGGAAATCTGGTGATTTAACATTGACCATGAATTTATTTAAAAAAAGTAATAAAAAATTCATGTGCATGTGTTTTTTAAGGTCTGTATTACCAAAACCTACACATGTGACAGTGCAATTACCAGCAAGCAATCTACAGCTTGAGAATTCTAGACCAACATTTTAAATACACAATTTCATAATGATGGTACTACATTGTACCTTGGTTTTGCCCTGCAATAATTGGTAAAATGACCATCCCATCTCCAGTGGAAAACGTACACATGTAGAAAGAGTGTACTCTATTTAGTGAATGTATGGAAGTGACACATGTAGGAGCTTGTTACAGACCATATGACACAGAACACCCTGCCTTTGTGAAAATTCTTGAGTATTCTAAATTCTATAATTTACCTTGCTTCCATGCACTTGATAATTCTTATGTAGTTCCTGTGCTTGGCAAGCTTTTTCTTAATTTCATAGAAAAGATGTCGAAGCTGCATACACAGAACTAAACTGGCCATGCTTAAGAAGATATTTGACCACAGCTGAAATTGAATTTTTAAAAGGTTCATTAACCATCAATGTAATGGGTACAATAACACTACATTACATCTAAGGCTAAAAAGCACACTTCCAGAATGTATAGATCTCATCTTCATTGTTTATTAAAGACAACAACATGCTTTTTGAACAAAGGGTTTCAAATGCATGTCCTTTGAACACTCCATTATAATTTTTATTATGCAAACAATGAAAAAGAGATATCCTTTTTGTTGCTTATTTGCTCACTTCTGTTTGATGCAAGTAATAATTAACAAAGCTCAGAAAAAAGAGCATGCAACAACTATAGTGAATTGTACATATCCATAGCTTTTTCTTGAGATTATTTTCAGCTTAAAGAGTGATAACAAACAACATCATGGACAGCCAGTGCTGTAAGACAGGTGTTCAGTTGTAAGATGCTCCCCGAAACTAGAACAGATTTTATACAATCGAGCAAAACTTACCCCTTTTTACACACACCTTTTTTAAAATAAGTTCATTGCTTAACAGATTTTTACCAATACTGAAAACAATGTATTCAGTGCACGCAATCTAAAAGTAGTGCACAATTATTTTACCCACAGTTCATGATAATCTGCATGAATTTCCTCATGTTTTATTTTTCATGTATTTTTTGCATGTATGCCTGTCTTGGATGGGTTTCTTTTCCTGCAATATTATTGCATACCTTAATTTATGGCAGATTTACATGTACAATGAAACATGCATGCACGAAATACTTAAACATGTCTCTTGTTGTTAGAAGATAATTAAATTATTACACTCACCAGCATGTGTAAGTGATGGGCAAAATCCACTGTATACATCGCTAAATCCAAAATCAGATCCGTGTTGTAACTCCAAGTGCTTCTTCCTTCCCACATTGTGGTGTGTTCAATGTCCCACAGATGGATTCCATATCTAAATAATGTAATGAATTGGGATCATTGATATTAACAGAGTGCTGCAAAACTACAGCTCAAGACATTAGTATTCTAAGCAGTAACTTCCATGAGATGCATCCAAAATCCAGTGAACTAATCAGATCCCAAATCAATAATTAATGCACACTAAGATATTACAAAGGTTTGCAATTCTCCATTACTTCAGAACACATCCACTAGATCAGCCATTCTCCCATTAAGACCTAGGTAAAATAAATGGACTGGTTGTTCAAATATTGGATAGCGCTATTCATGCACCAGATAAATCGCCATCCAGTGGATGAGCAATAACGAAATATTAATCCAGTGTAAAGTCATTATCCAACTTTCCAACAACAGGAGCCAAGACTCACGTAGGCTTAAGAAGCTATATCCAAGTAAGACTTATAATAACACCGAAAGGGATAACTGAATTTAATTTAAAAATCATGATGCATGTATGTCAAACATTAAGAATATATTATTATTATACAATAATAGTGCATAATAATATATAACAATTTGACCTCATTGTCTGAGCCTCAAGATCTACCTCTACCTTTAAATTTCAAGAGACTAAAAGAGACAAGCAATAATTTATTATAGTCCTTAACTAAACCAAATTCCCTCTATGTATGTATTGACCCACCTGACTGACGCATTTATGCATTAATGATGTACTTGAGCGTACCTTATCAAAGCATGGATCACTTTGATGAGTAACAGCATACACTACAAGAATATAAACAAACACCAAAGTTAAAAATCACAAGGGTTTCAAAGGAATGTTTAGTTATCACTTTTATTACTTACTACAAAGGCAAGAGAACAGGTTAGTGAAAGGTCCCAGGGGAAGAAAATGTTACAAGTAACTCATAATGCTTTGCCTTACAAAATGCAATTGTACTTTGTTTGGTACAATAAAGACCGATTAAAATTCTCTGATCACTTTTGAAAGAAAAGGCTGTAAATCTTAAGCTATGTGCAAACAGACGCAACAGCTCCCAGCATTGTTGGGTCAACAGTTTTGGGGGTTGTTGTGTCCGTGTTGGCAGTTATGTGCAAAAGGATGCAACAACCCCTAGCAATGTTGAAGCACTGTTGGCCCATCATGCGTGATTCATCACTTTGCTTTGCTGACAGTCTCCAAGGTAACCATGTGTGATGCAAGTACGTTGTGCTACGCTTTGGCAACCATGGGACAAAAGAAATGTTGGGAGCTGTTGGCTCAAAGGTTTAACAGGTTTGAAACTTTCCGCAACAACTCCCAACAATATGCAACCACATGCAACAGGACAATGCTGTGCTCTAGCAGTTCCTGGGTGGTGGCCCATGGCACCTTAAACTTTTGCTCCTGAGTGCCCAGAAAATCTTACTTTCTTTAAAATATTATGCAACATACACTGGGCACTCTGGATTTTACAGGTTCAGAGCACTGGGATCCCTTCAATAATATTTTTCTTAGAGCACGGCCTTGCGTGGGTGTGCAAACTGATGCAACATGTAACATCCAACAATGTTGGGAGTTGTGTCTGATTGCACAGGGCTTAACATTCGCACAGGTCTACATGTATTCAAGTCTGAGCTGTCTGAACAAATTCCTCTCTTTCCACTTCCAACAGTTGCTGTTGGATTGTAAAAACAGACAAAAAAAGTACATGTACAAATGCACATGTACTGTCTTGCTACTACTGTTTATAACATAATATCATTTTACCTCTGCTAACATGAATGTAAAAGTATGAATGCCATCTGGCCAGCCAATAAAAAGGCAGATGAAGAAGAGGCCATTGCAGCATAAAACCAGAACATTGAGCAATCCAATCACTTTTGCATGAGACCAAGGTGACGTGGTTGGGGAAAATGACAACTGAAAAAGCAAGATCACTTGTAATAAATATACTGTACACTACAGTGTATGTAACAACTGCACATAGTTGAAAGAAAAATAAAATTATCGCCAACACTGGAGCTAAATGTGCCTCAGTCAATACTTATTAAAACAACAACAACAGCAACAAGGAAATGTGCAAAGTTTGAGAACGACAAGGTCACAGGGTACCCCCAAATTTGCAGCAACCCCCCTAGATCATTGTTCTCGTACCTCAGACAAAGTAAAGTCCTAACTAATTCCTCTCCATTACCATTTTCACGTGGACTATTTTATTATGCTGTATAAATTGGTTCCAATGTTTGAGAGGATCAAATCCTATGGTGTGACCACTTAAATGAAACCTCGTTTGCAGTGCATTTTTATGGTACTACTTTTATTTATTATGTTGTTTTAACTTGTTCTACATGTAACTTTGGAATAATGTGTGGCCATTACTACACACAATCCTCTCCAGCATTGCTTTCACATGATACAGTACATGTAAAATTACAGTTGTGCACCAACAGTAAGAACTGTACAATAGGTTCTTACATACACTGTACATGCAGGCTGCAAAGAAAGCCAGTTTTACAGCCTGTCATTCAGGCAAGCTGTAGCTAATATGTACCAGCCCACAAGTCATTTCAACTAGCCCCAAAACCCTTTTGATTAGCAGGATTGATTACAATCCTTCTGTAATTTGAATTTCCCAAAAAACAGCACTTGCCTGTTGGGCAAGTAAAGAACAAAAACCACTAACCCGATAGCAAAATCCACTAACCCCAGGCTATTGCACACGACTTTCTTTGCACGCTGACATGGTAATATTAGCATAAATTTAGGCTGCAGTTATTTAGGTTCTCAACATGTACATGTACATTCTTATTTTCTGAAGAAAAAAATTATCCAGCCTACATGTATTCCTTGCAAAAGATCTGCAAACCAAGTAGGTATTTCATAATATACAATGACAATAATAAGAAAATTTGAAGCACTGATCATGTGAATTTTGAAGTCCTCCTTCAGAATACACTAATATTTTTATATATAAACTTTAGAAAATTGGAACAAAAAAAAGGGCTTGTTTCAAATTTTAGGCCAACCAGGCTCTTGTATTATAAATGTGGAAGGGGTCCAACTGGTACAGTACATGTAAATTAACACAACAGGTGCTTCTATTCAGAGGCTGTAACAGATTCCAACTGGACTATTAGACATTAAAACTGCCATTATTGGATGAGCCAGATATGATACAAAAAGTTATGCAGATAACACCCACTGAAATCTGTATAATATTTTATATCAATAATCATACCTAAGCCAACATGAAGTTTTTGTCTTCAAAACAATTCCCCCTTCCTCGACAATGTCAGTGCTTTTTTTTTTCGCTTTCACTTGCAATGCCTTTTACTGTCAAATGAAAACCGTGATCACCTGAGAAATTTCAGGAATGCTACCAGATTGTGAAGTGACCATTCACAATAAAGATCAGGACGTGCAAGCAAGTCTCAAAACCACAGACTAAAATTTTTGGCTTTCCTTTTTGTGGTTTACTCTTCTCACCTCTTATTTGTTGTTTCATTGCAACACAATACAGGGTTTTTGATAAGATTTTACATAGACGGCAAAAGATTTGGAGTAGGTGAAGAAGGAAACAAAGTCGCAACAAAGTCACGACTTGCAAGTGCGAGTTTCTGGAAAATTTGAATGCATAGAATGCATTTCCAGTATTCTGGAGCAAAAATTAGAGTGTTGAACAGAACACAGACATCATTAAATTTTGGCTTTATTATTATGTGACGGCACATGATTACTCTATCTTTTATTTTAAAACTTCTAGAACATTTCTTATACGTGCGTCGAATGAGATAAAGATGTGATGTCTTATTTCGAAAGTGGTTCAAGTCATTCGAACACATTCGTGGACTCGGCATTTACAATTTCTCAAAAAAAAAATATTGGGGTAATTGCCAAAGAAAAGTAGGTGGCGAGTTCATGTGAAATAGCCGGCGAATTTCGCTGGCCACCGGTTCTAACTGAAAACCCTGCAATAGCATTCCATAAATGTTTCTGGTTTTCACGGTTTTGTGAGTTTCACAGAAATGGTACTGTTTATTCATCCAAATAAGGCTAAATCAAGTTTGGTATTTCATCTTGTGTTTGTTGGGGGTACTCTCAGAGATAACAGGGTTAAACCATGACCTTGGAGTTTTAACGAATGTTACTTAAGATAATTATTTATGGTACTTACATACTCAAACCTGTCCTTACAAAGCTGCGTAAAAAGATGAAAGAAACCCAACAATGTAAACCAAGCCGTCCACCACATGACTTCATTGAATTTCTGAATGTTCAGCACACCAAAAATGAAGATGAACTTGTAGAAAACAAAGTTCCAGAATCTGTCTTGAATTTGCTGCAAAAAAAACACATGAAAAAGTCCATGTCTTAATCTACATGTAGGGGCTGACCGATAGCTTTAGTCCTTAATTTGTAAGCACCGGTACAGCCTTACAGCTCTTAAGTCTGCTTGATAACCACCAGAGCAGATCCACAGGCTGACATTAAAAAGTAGCTTTCTTGGCAGAGCCCTTGTTTACTGTTTTTGAAATGTGAATGTTTGTTGAAAGCTTGCAATAATAATATTATATTTGTGGAAAACAAAAATAAGTCCACAATTCAACCCTCCAAATCCACTTGCTATGTCATGTGAGAATTGAATGTTGCCTGTTTTGCCGAAGAAAATAAAGCACGATTTCTTGTATCAAGGACACAATTTTTGATGTCCAAGGTGACACTTATTTATCTCATGCAACAAGTTATGCTTCATGTTCATGCAGTACTGACAACTCTCCTGGATTAAATCCAGGAGATTTTAGACCGCATCTCCCAGTCTCCAGATTAGAGTAACTGTATGAAATCTCCCGGACAATCACAAAGTTTACCATTTCTTGTAGACTCGACTTTCCAATAATGAACTTTCAAATATTATTTTGCCTTGTAATGTTAACATCGAACATTCCTTCATAAACTCAAGTATGCCATTGTAATAATATAAGCAATAATGTTATTAGTGGGAAGTAAACCAATCAGATCAAAATTAGTAATGTTACAAGACCAGTCTAAGGCCAACAACATCTTTTTTGCACGTTTTGCGTCATTGCAAATATCCATGACAGTAGGAGTCAACGAGTTTTTTTTGCACAGATGACATCATGTGCGGTGCATTATATGATGTCATCTATCAGCCACTCCTAATCAATTCTCAATATATGAAGACGTGGGAGGTTGACAGCCCCATTCATATAGCATGCCACTGACTGGTGTCAAAGAAAATGGGGTGTGACATCTTGCATGAAGGAAATGATTTTTTCAAAGCAACAGGTCGCACTTAATATTCATTTTAAATAACACACCAATGACCACAGTTTCCCCCTTTTTTGCAAAATTTCTTTTGACTACAAAAAAGAAGAAGACTAAAGGGTAATGGACTCTCCTTGTTTACAAACTGAATCATGCAGTATTGCATATTGCATTAATTTTACTTACAGACATGATGGACATACAAAATGAATTTCTCACAAAACGGGTGCAAGGGAGGAAATGACCTGTTAACTAGGCTCCTCACCCCATCATAACTCATCGTGTAAGTGCTAGTTGTCACCCTGGTGAGGTTTCCAATTTCAAATGCAAATTAGTTGGTAGGCACAACAGTACCCACAGGTACTGGACAAAAGCCAGACATGCCTCAAAGTCCAGCACAATGGCTCGATTTGATGCGGAAATTATGAAAAAATTATGCAAATGAAATGAAATGCCAGACTAACCACATAAAATAAAGCATTTGTGAAATTACGGACAAAGAGCCGACACAAACATCATTTTTGCAGCATACAACTTCCATTTCACTTTGCACCGCAGCAGATTCAAGAACAGAACAGGTAAGTTTTTATCCCCCATTTGATTTCCATTTGCAGTTTACAAATAAGAGTGTGGGTTCCCTATGCTGTGCATGACAAAGAGATAATTTTTAATACATTATGTATAGCTGAAGCTGTATTTCATTGGTGAGACTTCAGTCGCACAACTGGACCAAGTTGTTTGCAAGACAATAAGCTGCCAATATAGGTGTTTTTACCGACAACGCACATGCTCTGTTTGTAGTTAATGTATGATTACAGGTCTAAACTAGGCTTTAAAGGGACACAGTCAGCTAATGCACCTGCGCATTAGATACCATTTCTTAGCTGATTTGCATGTCACAAGATGGATGTGAAACAGAAAGTGAGAAGCATATTCAGAATACTCTAAACACACCTTGTAGAGTTGAACTAGTTACAAACCAAAATTGTGATTATAGACCCTAGAAAGCTTGTTTTTCCAAATATATTTAACCTTTTCCATCGATTTTCCAAATATATATAACAATTATTTGCTCGCCAATGTTACTGATTCATTTCTCTTGTTACTTTGGTAAATGGACGCAATTTCTCCTGCCCGGGGCCTACGTGTTTCTCACCTCTTCTGTTTATGTTCCTTTGAATACTGTTTTTAAACAAATATGATAAAATAATGTAATAGGATGAGTAAAGTTTGCTCAAAAAGAGGTTTTCAGTAAAAGATTGAGGATCAAATGAAACCTCAGGTAGGATTGAAGTGGATTTCTAGATGTATCCGGCAAGTAGATTTGATTTTGGGTTGAGGTAAACACTTTTCAAACAGGCAAAAGTAGGGTCCAGGTCAGTGCGGTAACAGAGTCAGCTCCGTACGCTTCCAGTGGAAACTTATGTCAAGAAATATCACTGAAAAATATCAAATGTCTTGTCATCTGTAGAGGGATTTTTTTAGATTCTTGCAGTAAACGTTTTAATATACTTGCACATGTTAACAAAATTTCCTTTCAAATAATAATAAGCTGATGTCCAATGAGCGATAATGAGTAGCAAACAGGGAAAAAATAGAGCGCAAGGATTGAAATTGATGTACCCAACACAACTTTGAATACTTAAACGTTTCATGAGATGTTGTTGGTGTAAGTCCAATAAGCTTAATAACGGTTTTTAATTTTTTATACCCTACAATGACAAGAAACAGTAGGAGTAATAAACTGATGATGAACGATCAACGTGTAAATACTAGCAGTTTACACAACATATAACCGACAGTTTCCTAGCCAAAACAGTCTGTACTGTACGGCGAATCAAATAGGTTTAAATATCTTGACTGGTGAATGAAGGTCCTAAGTTAAAATTTCACCACAGGAGTAACAAGACAAAATGATGGCACACAATGTAAAACAATAATGACATGCTACGTTGGCTTTTTGATACATTTGCATGATCAACATCACTGCATCAATTATTGTTGTCCGTTCTAATAAATAGAAGCCAATTAAACCATGGAAAATATCGTTCTTTAGAGGCTGCTACAAACTGTCCAACTTTTAGACTCACCTGTAGTTCACTGGCTCGAAGATCGCCGAATACGACTCTCTGAATGATTTTCCCAAACAAAAATAAACAACAGTAAGCCATATTCAAGTTCGACTGAAAAGGAAAATGAATATGTTAGCATATCAGCAAACCACCGGTCATTGTCATTAACGAAGTATCCCTGTGTTGAATCCATCGTTGTATTTACTTACCCAGAAGCAAAAATTATCCTGAGACATGAAATCGTATACTGGGACTTTGCTTTCTTCAGAACCGATAGTCACATTCAATGCATAGAGAATGGCGGACACAAACACCAATACACTCACGGCAACGTAAGACTTAAGCGAAGGAAGCGGCAACTGTTCGAGAAAAACTAACGGCATTTTGTTTTGCGGCGATTGGTAGTTATGCTAAAGTGAATAAAGGTGATTCAAAACAGGAAAAGGTAAAAAAGGAAACCTTCCAGTGTAAGACTTGGTTGCTCAAGATCAAAGTACTCGAGCACGAAAGAGGTCGTAGTGACGTCACGTGCGCCTGAGAATGACTAGGGCCTAGGTCTCCTCCTACAAGATTCTGGTAATAATGCCACTCACAGTTCACAGTGGGCCCAACTGCAAAATGTCAGGTGTCACTTAAATTTTTAAAGATTCTTCTATGTTGTCAGTTAAATTTTTGGTCATTTTTGTGTTGTCAATACTAGTGCAATTGACTTCATCCAACCCTGCAGCAGATGTACTCACTGATCCCAGGGGGTGGGGGTACTTGAGATAATTTTGGCTCAGATGTGTGCCACTGGTTTCTTGGAACCCCTACTCCACTTTAGGCTATTCTGTGGCCAGTTATAGACCCTCATCTTAGTCACGTTTGCCCAAATAAAGTTTTATGATCAGTCATAAACTGTCACTTTTTTAACCACGAATCTCATTTTTAAATCCCTTCTCACCAAGAACTTCCTCATCCTCTATGACAAAAAAGTGTCTTAAATGATTCTACTAAAGCTGGAACTGATCAACATTCCTGAAGCAGATTTTTTTGTTTGAAGTGATAATGATAAATTTTGTTATTTTCCTTTTCCTTTACATCTTTTAATATATTGTTGGATTTTATATAATTTTATTATAAAAAATAGATAAATGTATGAATAAAACATGCCATATATATGGCCTCCACAATAATATGATGAAGGGCTATGGAGGTGGGGAGTAGACTGCATTAATTTATCAGTAGAGAAAAATGATGATATAGTAGAGAAAATTATATAAGACCTAAATCAGTTAATGCTGTAGCTTTTTGAATTCACCAGCTTTTATAATTATATAAACTGATAAAGAAGTAGTTCTTTGAGATTTTTTTCTTAGAATTCTCATAAGCCGATTACTCAATAAAAAGCAATAACTTATGAGATCATCCCTATTGTTTGCCCTGATTTATACTGTTGTTAACATTAGATAGCCAAATTTATATTAACAGAGGTCCCCTTATATTAATAGTTTTTGTTACCAAGGAAAAGAGTAAACACCCTCAGGCAAATAGGGGTCACAGAAGACAAATAATTGATAAGTCTCTGTGTCCCCTGGTTGCCTGAGGGTGTGTGCTGTTTCCAATTTGCTCAAAGAAGCATAATATATTGACTGAAGTCTTTTTCTCGGTAAAAAAGGAACATACAAACATGACGCAAAGTCCCCAACTGAAGAAATGTTTGCATATACAAGGTGTATTTTCAAAGGATGTCAACAACTTAACTCTCTGTTATAATGACACAGACCATTCAAGAACAACACCACTTTATTGCAATTTCAATTTTTATAACTATCAGGACACCCAGCGAGAATATAGTTCAAAACCACTTAGACATAGCATAGTTGAATGTATTTTAGTATAAACAGTAGATATAAGCATATTTTTATCCCCTAAAAATTTTTCATCTGTTCGGATTTTCTAGATGAAAGTCTAGTGATCCGAAAATGATCATTAGGTATCAAAACTTAGCTTTTCAAAAATTTTAGCCAGAAAAAAGGCTCCCGAAAGTTCTAGGTCTTTTTAGGGTAAAATCCATTAACAATGGGCAATTATACCATTTTTAGATGTTCAAAAATCCTAGGAGAGGAATGCAAGCAAGAAATTCTACAACAAATTTTCCAAAAATTCTGGATCTCAAATCGTCTTCCGAACATATATTTTCCAAAAATTGACATTGCGTGCCCCTGAACTATAGAAACCACTTGCAATTGAAGACAAGGAGCTGTCACGTCCTCAAGGGACTGGGGCTGGAGATTTTCCCAAGCTACTATGAGGGTGACCCATGGCTACTTTCACAGGAAACAGTTCTATATGTATATAAGTGTTAAATTCCCCACCTACATGTATAGTACTAGCTGTATATACCTGGAAACTTGAAATCTTACTGATATCCTTGAAATTATTATTGAGGCATCCTTCTAAACAAAAAAATTGTACTGCTCACTTCCATTTTTTTAGGGTACACTGTATTCATCCAATTATACATATCTATACTCACAGGTTAAAAGTGAAGCTGAAAAAAGCTTAACAGGCTTATTATACCCAGAAAACTCTTTTGCACTATTTTGCTTAAAGGGGCTGTGTCACGGCAGTCCAATTTTTGTTTAATTTTGCCAATTACTCACCCTCATCGCTATGGAATTTAAAGTAAGCAAAGAAATTACATGTAAATGACAAAATCAGAGATCCGAGACAAACAATTATGTCTCCTGAGCATTATTTTTGAAGTTGCAAGTAGCAGGGATCAACTTTGAAAAACTGTTAGGCTGAACAGTTTTCAAAAACTCTAATTTCAATCCGTTTCAATCTTCTTCAGTTTTGCCCATCTGTGGCATCTGTTGTTTCTGTTATGTTATTTTAACCTTCCTTTAGAGTTTTGAATGGTTATTTCTATGTTTCTCTTAATTTAACGCGCATTTTGTAATTTCCTAATTTGGCTGAATTTCGTTACACAGCTCCTTTAAAGGCAACTTCAAAATTTCCCCAGCATGTTTTGTACTCAAGAGATCTTTCAGCCTGTGATAAGATATGTTTCGCTGCAAAAATTAACTGACAGCAGACTATTAGTTCAAACATCTATCCCTGAATCTAAAAAAAATAATAATAACAATAAAAGTCCTGTCTGGTCAACTGCATGAGGCAAGAAGATTTGTTACTTAGCAAGTAAAATGGGCTTGGGTTGAGGCAATTCATTTTGTAAATAAATCTTTACTAAGACAAGAAAGAACTGGCCCTGTGCAAGTAAACTGCAAGGGCTGATTATCCAAAGGACAAGCTGGAATTCAAGTTATAACCACTGAGGAAGTACCCAGTGCTGGAAAAAATCTAGTCCAGTAGTCCTGCGAAAAAGCATTTTCTTGCTCAGTTTTAAGTAACTTTTACAGTCAAACCGGGAAAGCCATGAACACCAGAAATATTTCTGGAATGTTATTGTGTTGCAAGAAAAAGGCCAATTGGGTGTGAGAAAACTAAACCGCAAGCAAGACCATCAATTTGTTTGTGGTTTATGGCTGGTTTGCATGTCCTGATCTTTGCAGAGATTGGTCATAACACAATAAACATAGTTTTCCTGAGATATTTCAAGCGTTCACAGTTTTCCCAGTCGCACTGTAAAGCTTACTTGCCCAATGGGCGAGGGTCCTGAAAACTCATCAGCATTAATGTGAGAGCTGATTGCCCAAAGGACAAGCTGGAATTCAAGTTTTTTCCTTTTTCGAGCGCTGATATGGAAGGTCTAAATTGACTTATACCTTACTCAAACACTTAATTTTGCCCTGTTGAGAATTCACCTGCTTAATATATTTTTCCAAATCTGGATAGTATTCACCAAGTTGATACTCAGGTAGCTTATTTAATGCTGCTACAGAGACTTTCAAACAAATTGTAGCTGTTAAACCCCAAATAACAAAATTCACAGGCTTGGTTTGATCTCCAGCATCTGTTTCATAGTCAAAAAAGGTGATGTCTATTTCTTTCTCCATGAAAGTCATTGTACCTTTTCTGTGAGTGGCCTTATAAAGAAAAAAATTCAAAGGTACGTCGAATGTGGTCTGGACCTCCGAGGTGTTAATAACTAGTTCAAAGCTTGACTTTATGATACCAATGACAGGATAGACATATGCATGCAGTTTCTTGTTTCTCGTAACTAAAGGACATAGTACAGCCACTACTTCAACAATCTCTGGGGATAAGCCTACTTCTTCTTTGGCTTCTCTCAAAGCTGTTTCTACAACATCTTTGTCACTATCTTCTTGTTTCCCACCAGGAAAAGCTACCTGTCCTTTGAATGTAGGAAGCTCCTCTGATCGTAGAGTAAGGAGAAAGTGCAGAGCTCCTTCTTTAACGAAAATTGGGACTAAAACAGCCGCTCTTCTGAAGGCAGGATTTTCCTTTCCTGAAAAATATTTGTTGGTGTTGTACTTGGATTCGGCGAAACTTTTAACTCTCTTGCGACAGAACTCTAGCAATGCGGCTTCATCTGATGGAGTTGCCATTTGCTTCACATTTTCTTTGAGGAAGCAATGACTGTCACTTGTCGTGTGACATACATAAGGTCCATATCTATCTCACCCAGGCTCTCTCGGTACAGTTGTGGTTGGTGTCACGCATTCAGCATGGGGGATGTCCTCATGAGCAAAGTTTTCCTCTTCAACAAAAGAGTTTTTCATTTCTCTCGCATCTCGAGAAAGGAAATGTTTTCACAAAGATTTAGTCCAACGACAGGCAAAATGGAGTGGGTTGTGGAAGATGAAGATTATGACATGCGAGACGAAATAGCGAGGTGAGCACGCGATTTGAAATACACGTGGTGTTTGTATTACCCATTTGCCTAATTTTACTTTACTACTTTTTATTCCACTCGCAGGTCAGCTTATACAGACATGCTTCACGATGATGAAAGGGTAGGAAATCATTAATGATCTGCGATCGTTTGCCAAAATGTATTTGCAAATTTAAACATATGACATGATACAGTACATATGTGTATTTCTCACTCATAGTCTAATGACTAAAGCGACAGGATATGCAATGGAAAGTTCTCAGTTATTTGATTCATCTGATCTGGCTGCCATTCTATATTAGATTATTTTAAAGTTTAGGGTTGATGTACTTTAATGAAAGATTAGAACTGAAACATGTGTGAATGCAGCTAATTAATTAATATTATGAATGAATGAGTGAGTTAATGAATGAATAAATGAAGAAGGGAAGGAAGCAAGAAAAGTGATTGAGATTCTCATTTTGCATACTAGAATAACAATCACCTGTCTTTAAACCCTTCAACAGACCTTCTTTGTTATACACTCATAACCTGTGCCACAGATGGAAGTGATCATGAACTTCCGGTTAAGGTGACTCGACCCAGTTTTTTTTAGGGGGTACCATCCTACTTTGAAGCTCTCTGGTATCCCCACCTTTACTTTTATCGTAAGTATAACACATAGAATGGATAACATATAGATCAATCTACAATATAACATAAAATTTTTGGCGATCGGAGTAAATGTCACGTGGTTATAATGCCACGCCCCTTTGAGGTCTGAGTCGAAAATCTGCTGTTGCCGGCATTTTTTCGTGAAAATCTCTCGGCTACACATAGTGCGCATTAGTGCCTTGCGCTGAACAGAGTTTCACCAAAATCGCAAAGACCCAATTCGAGAAATTCAGCGGTTTCCAAATTTAGGTCATAATTTATGCGAAAATGATAAGCAAACTTTACACGGATTATATCTAATAAACTATGAGATTCATCTCTTTATTTTGGGCATCGTTATAACAGATGGGTCCTTGCAAGTCAGCAAAACGCTTTAGGGCCTTGTAAATGCGCGCGATTTCGAGCAAAGCAAACATATAGAAATTATAGTTTTCGCTATTTGTTGACGTTTGTCGGCGTTTAAGAGTCAATCTCACGAAAAAGGCATTTTCTTAAAAATTCGTAGTTTTTTTTTCTTCAAATTTTTTCAGGGCCACAATTGATTAACTAACTACCCGGACTCTGAATTTCATGGTCATTGAAAAACTGTGACATTATCTTCTATAAGCTCAAACTTGAGTAAACATTGAAGATTTTTAGCGTTTTGGCTGAGTTTGTGCTTTGGGAGTTGTCTATTGTTTCTAGTCTGTCATTATACAGCATTCTTGTTCAGCACGCGTGCAATGACCGCGCTTGGCAGACAGACCCTCGTCTTAGTCACGTTTGCACAAATCTGGTTTTATGATCAATCACTTTCTGTCACTTTTTTAACCACAAATCTTCCCATTTTTAAATCTCTACTCACCAAGAACTTTCTCATTCTCTATGGCAAAAAAGTGTATAAAATGATTCTACTATAGCTGGGACTGACCAACATATTTCCTAAAGCAGATTTTTTGTTTGAAATGATAATCATAATTTTGTTATTTTCCTTTTCCTTTACATCTTTTATTAATTTGTTGGATTTCATATGATTTTATTATAAAAAATAGATAAATATATGAAGAAAACATGCAATATGACCTCCACAATAATAATTTATGATGAAGGGTTATGGGGGCGGGGAGTAGACTGCATTAATTTATCAGTAGAAAAAAAATGATGATATAGTGGCAAAAATTATATAAGACCAAAATCAGTTAATGCTGTAGCATTTTGAATTCACCAGCTTTTACATAATATTTAAAGACTGATAAAGAAGTTTCTTTGAGATTTTCCTTAGAATTTCCACTATATCAAGAGGCTGATAAAGAAATTTCTTTGAGATTTTCCTTAGAACTCTCATAAGATTACCCAGTAAAAAGGGATAACTTATGAGATCATGCCTCTTGTTTGCCCTGATTTACCACCGTTGTTAAAAACAGATAGCATGCCAATATTTGCAGATTGAAGTCCCCTTAATAGTTTTTGTTATCAAGAAAAATTGTAAACCGACCCTCAGGCAAACAGGGGTCACAGAGGCCAAATAATTAATAGGTCTTTGTGTTCCCTGGTTGCCTGAGGGTGTGTGCTATTAATTCCTTTTTGCTCAAAGAAACATAATATATTGATTGAAGTTTTCTTCTTGGTAAAAAAAGAATGTTCAATTATGATCCATGCAAAATCCCCAACTGAAGAAATATTTGCATTATTATAGAAGGTGTATTTTCAAAGGACTTCAAACAACCTAACTCTCTGTTATGATGGCGGCACAGACAATTCAAGAACAACACCACTTAATTTATTGCAATTTCAATTTTCATAACTATAGAAACCACTTGCAATTGAAGACAAGGATATACGTCACATCCTCAAGGGACTGGGGCTGCAGATAGAATCCCAAGCTACTATGAGTGTGACCCATAGCTACTTTCACAGGAAAACCGAAGGAAAAAAGAACCAAAATAACGTCCTTCATATAGTGTTTAATTCCCCACATACTTAATGTATATACTGGAAACTTGAAATCTTATAAGTGATATCCTTGCAATCATTAATTGAGGCATCCTTCTAAACAAAAAAAAATGTCCTGTTCACTTCCATTTTTTTTAAGGTACACTTGTATTTATCCAGTACATCTAAACTCACAGGTTAAGGTGAAGCTGAAAAAAATCTTAACAGGCTTATTATACCGAGAAAACTATTTTGCACAGTTCTGCTTCAAAGCAACTTCAAAATTTCCCAGCATGTTTTGTACTCAAGAGATCTTTCGGCCTGTGATAAGATATAATTTACTGCAAATATTAACTGACAATATCTAAAAAAAAAAAATTTTTCTCGATAAAAGTCCTGTCTGGTCACCTAATGGACAAGAAGATTTGTTGCTCAGTAAGTAGAATGGGCTTGGGTCAAGGCAAGTCATTTTGTAAATAAATCTTTACTAAGACAAGAAAGAAATGGCCCTGGGAAAGGAAAATGTAACGGCTGACTATCCGCAGGACAATTAGCTGAAATTCAGGTTATAACCACTGAGGAAGTACCCCTGAAGCTGGTTGGATCATTATATATTTCTGGGAAACTGCCCACCTACCCCTTTCCTAAGCCAACATTAACCCTTATTTCTCACTTAGGGCAAAAAATTGGCTTATGGGAGGTGTAGGTGGGCAGTTACCCAGAAACATATAATGATCTGGCTGGTCCATATACAGGGCTGGGAAAAAGTCCAGTCCAGTAGTCCAGGAGAACTGCATTTCCTTGCTGGGTAAATAACTTTTAAATCTTATACTTGCCCAATGGGTGAGGGTCCAGAAAACTTATCGGCAAAAATGTGAAAGCTGCTTACCCAAAGGACAAGCTCAAATTCAAGGGTTTTTTTTCCCAGTGCTGATATGCTCTTTCTTTTTTATAAGAATATTGTTTTGCTGGCCCAGGCTGAATATTCCTATTTTTCTGCCAATTTTAGGCTGAAAATATTCTTGTCATATTCTTAATATTCTCTATTCTTAGTTCATGTCTTTTACCTTGTACATATCAGTTGTACTGCACAAACACATTACATGTACCACTCATCGATCATTGAACATGTTTTGCCATTTAGAGAAAGGAATAATTTTATATAAGTAAAAACATGTCACTGTATTGTACTTACAGATTTTCAATGCATGAATTCTTTTCACAATTTCAGCCTCAGGTTTATTCTTAAAATATTCTTAAAATTTTGCAAATTTCAGTCTCAATAGTCTTATAAAATATATTCTTATAAAAAAGAAAGAGTGTATAGATGGTCTAAATTGACTTATACCTTACTCAAACACTTAATTTTGTCCTGTTGAGAATTCACCTGCTTAATGTATTTTCCCAAATCTGAATAGTATTCATCAAGATGATACTCAGGTAGCTTATTTAAGGCTGCTACAGAGACTTTCAAACAAACTGAAGCTGTTAAACCCCAAATAACAAAAGTCACAGGCTCCGTTTGATCTCTAGCATTTGTTTCATAGTCAAAAAAGGTGATGGATATTTCCTCTCCCTTAAAAATCATTGTTCCTTCTCTGTGCGTTTCCTTATGAAGAAAAAAATTCAAAGGTACGTCGAATGTGGTCTGGACCTCCGAAGTGTTAACCACCAGTTCAAAGCTTGACTTTATGATACCAATGACAGGATAGACATATGCATGCAGTTTCTTGTTTCTCGTCACTAAAGGACATAATACAGCCACTACTTCCACAATCTCTGGGGATAAGCCTACTTCTTCTTTAGCTTCTCTCAAAGCTGTTTCTACAACATCTTTGTCGCCATCTTCTTGTTTCCCACCAGGAAAAGCTACCTGTCCTTTGAATGTAGGAAGCTCCTCCGATCGTAGAGTAAGAAGAACGTGAAGGGCTCCTTCTTTAACAAAAATTGGGACTAAAACAGCCGCTCTTCTGAAGGCAGGATTTTCCTTTCCTGAAAAATATGTGTTGGTGTTGTACTTGGATTCGGCAAAACTTTTAACTCTCTTGCGACACAACTCTAGCAATGCGGCTTCATCCGATGGAGTCGCCATTTGCTTCACATTGCCTTTGCAGAAAACTTCAAAAATGGCCAGGCGCAATCACTGTC